GCTTGGCTCTCTGCTCTTCCGAGCCTGGCTCTCCGTCCACCCCTGGCAAGCCTTACTTTTCCTTTGCCCCAGGGGGCGGCTGCCCGCCAGCCCTGAACCGGTGCAAACACCCAAGCCGTTTCCAAGCTCTCCTAAGCCAGTATTTTCCCACTTGCCTTTCTCTGGGGTTCTTCTTCCACGAGCCAGTTCGAGACCAACCCCCTCCCCGCCTTGAGAATTGTTTTGTTGGACCGCTGTACAGAGGCGTGTAAAACGCGAGGACTTTATTCTCATTTTCCTTTCCTTCCCTTCTGGGCAACGGAGCAATGAAATTTCCAATCGAGACTCCAAGAAAACAGGTGAACTGGGATCCGAAAGGTTGGTATTGCCTACTTCGGGCCGCCTCGCCCTGCCTCCATCCGGGCTAGCGCGCGCCTCCACGAGTGACAGCGCTCTTGCTGCCGGCAGCGTGTGTCCTGAGGCTGGAAAATGCGCCTGGGAACAGCAGCGCGGGTGGGAGGAGGGCGGAGGCTGTGTGGGTTCCAGACCCAGATAGTGTCTGTCATTATCACATAATCATTGTCCCTCCTGGCTTATTTCAAAATCTATTTAAAGATCCACCAGGGTGACTGTTTGGCTTGAAATTGCACCAAGTGTTGGTATCTGCTTTTGACTTTGTGTCGATGAGAGTGTGTGTGTATCCTTTGTTTCTGGTGATCTTTGTCTCTCTAGCAGATGGGTGGGGTGCCTCCCCCTGGACCTGGAGCTGCGCCACCTGGCCGGGGTGTCCTCAGTGGGAAAGGTTTCCTGGCAGCAAGTGGGGTTCAGAGCTGCAGCAACTGTCCCTGGAGGTGGCCCTTCTCGCAGGGCATGTGAAATAATGGAACCCGTGGGACCTTCTGAGTCTTTGCTCAGTCTTAGGTAGCTAGTTTGGCTCAGATCAGAGGCAGCTAGTTTGGCTCAGATCAGAGTGGAAGGGGGAGGGAGTAGTGGCTTGCTGGAAGGGTGGGGCTGGCTGGGGCTGGGGAGGGGGTGCATGTACTGTCTGAACAGTAGTGTTCTTTACAAGCCCTGAGGATTGTTGGACAACGTGCCCTTGTCGCAGAAGGGAGTGACCAAGGCAGATTTTTGTCTCTCGCAGCGGCCACGGTGTCTGTCATAAGCATACAGATGTTAGGGTTCTTCGGAGTGAGCAGAATGGGCAAAGAACAAGTTGTCCAGTTTTGATGAGAATGCTCTTTAGTGTCCCTCTTAGCTTATCTGAAGGCTGAGTCTGGCTAGAAAAAAACCTGTGTGTGTGCTGGTGTTGACATTTGTTTATATGATGTGTATGTGTGTTCAGCACTCTTTATGAGTGCGTTTAATCCTTTCTCCAGACTGGAAAAGAGGAAACCTACTCATTCGTGGAGAAAATGTCTTATGAAGTGACTTGCTCTTGGAGAGAGAATGAAGAGGCAGTGCCTGTTTCCACCGGAGTCTGTTACACATTAAACACAACCCCAACCTTGTATTTTATCTCTGGTTTCCTCGAAATATGGACACGTGTCTTGGCTTTTTGTTTTGTTTCTGTTAGATCCCTGGAAAACATATTTGTTGATAACTACTGTGTCCCGTGCACTGTTCTAGACACTGGGGATACAATCAGATGAGTGTAGACAGAGGCTCGCTGCTTTAGAGTTAATAGTAAGGGAAACAGACAGAATTTATGTATGTTCTGTGAAGGAGAGCATCAGGGTTTTAAGAAAGTGTCGGAAGAAAATGATGAGGACCAGAGATAGATAGTCAGGGATTGATGAGGTAGATAGTTGGGGCAGGGATTCAGACCCTTGTTCTGAGAGCTGGAGGTTTTGTAGGGATTCAGTGGCTAGTGCAGAAGGGAGCTGTTGCAGAAGCTTCATGAGCAATGCCAAGGCCCAGAAGCAAAAGGAGCGTGTGTCTCTGAGGAACAGAGAAAAGTGTAAGAGAGAGCGTGTGTTATGGGGATCTAAAGGGTGAAGCCTCAATCTTGTGTCCTTGTGTCCAGTGTTGTAGGAGGGGTGCAGGCGGGAAGGATCGAAGCCCTTATCTTAAGCCATTGAAGAATTTCAGCCTGAGAAGTGACAGTTTCAAATGGAGGTGCTGTGTGGCTCTCAGGGACACGAGGAATCAGATATGATTGCAGTGTGGACCAGGGTAGTGGCCGTGGGGAGGGAGACGTGAAACCAGCAGGTTCTGTGTGAATAAAGTGCGGAGGAGGAGCAATTGGAAAGTCTGGGATTGCAGCCAAGACAGGACCTGCCTTGAGTTCAGGCCAGGACTTCCTGCGTGGGAGACTCCCTGAGTCATCCACGAAGTGTATTAAGTGGGCAATAGTCGAAAGCGTGAGGGCTCCCCGAGGGACTCTGACAGGGAGGGCTGTGGGCTCATGGTGTGAAGCTCCTCTTTGCTTTGAAATATGTTTTGATGTGATCACCCCTCTGTAGATTGATGTCACAGCGATAAACACAGATGAATACCATTCTACAGCCTGACATAATGTCAGAGCATTCAGATGCACCTACAGTCACACCAAGAAACAAGAACATTTGTCCGTTGTGGGCCAGGTGTTTTATGTATATTATTTGTATATTGTTTCATACAGTTATTCTCACAACACTCACTTGATGTTATAAGTGTTATTATCCCCAGTTGACACTTGGTGGTTACTTGGACGCCACTGAGCTCTGCTCTGGTAGGATGCTCTGACTTCCAACATAATTGCCCCTGAAGGTGGGGGTGACAAGGTCTTTCCTAGCTAAGGGGTGGAGGAAGGGCGTGTGGGGAGGGAGGATGGCATATCTCACATATGTCTGGAACTCTGTGCCAAGCTTTGCATGTATAGAGTGTTTTATAAGTATTAATTTATTTAATTTTCATAAAGATTTTACAGGCGAGGGAACTGAAAAATAGAGAGGTTGAGTAAGTTGTCCTAGGTCACACAGTTAATTGGTGTGTGAACTTAAATTCTCTTCTCTCACGTCCTGGTGAGGCTGCCAGAGTCCGGAACCTGGAGAAGCTTGTTGGGAAGACAAGAGAGAAGAGGAGGAGTTGAGTTTGGTAGAAGAATATGATAGCGAGAAAGAGGAAGGGGAGAAAGAGAGAAGAAGATAGTGAGGAGTAAATCAGCCCCTTTCACTCGTTTCTTCTCTTACCCATCTAGCCAAACAGCGCCTCTGCTTCTACCTCTAGTGGCCAGTCACTGGCCGCTGGGCAGCCTTTGGGCTTATTCTTTGGAGGCTTGGCTTTCCATAGGCCACGTGTGCTTATTGGCAGGAGGGAGGGAACCTCATTATAATAAAAACACAGAAGCACAGTTCATATTATATGAATTTTAGGATTCTTTACCTAGTAATCTTCAGGTGGAGATGCTCACAGACTGTGGAAGGAAGTTGTAATTATGATGTTTTGCCCCATCATAATATGGTTTAGCAACACAGGATGAATGGAAATTGAGAATAGATTGGCTTTTTGTTGCACATGGATGTAGGGTGCAAAGCACTGTCAAGAAGTGTAGATGCAAAAATAAGACCTGGGCTCTCCCTGGTGGCGCAACAGCTCTATGAAGCTCTCCGAAGCCACTGTAGCACGAGTTCGATCCCCGGCCAGGGAGCTGACCCACATGGTGTGGCAGACCTCTCCTGACCCGCCCACTGCTCCTCTCAGCAGTGTATTTCAGTCAGTCTGCCTGCTCTGCTCACCACTCTGCTTCTGGTGAATCCTCTCACTGCCCCCCACCCCCCATACTCTGGCCAGAACCCCAGTTCTGTATATATAAATAAATAAATCTTAAAAAAAAAAAAGACCTAAGTGTAAAATGACAGTTTTTTGGTTGGCTGTGGCCTTTCTCCATGTTTGTAAAGCTAAGAATTCAACAAGTAGAATGGCAGTGTATGTTAGCACCTTCTCCAAACTGGGCTGGCACCAATTCTGTTTTCGTAGCAGAAAACCATTTTAAGTCCTTGGGATCACTTGTTGATGATTTTCTGCTGAAAACTGGGATTGACTTTCTCCTTTTATGTATGTTAAAGGCTTTTAAAAATCAATAAGATCAATATGATCTGCAAGAAGTATTCCCATAGCTTGAGGCAAACCAATCAGTATGGCTTTCCAATCTCTGGATTGGGGACAAAAGAATTTATTTCTAGAATGAGCTCTAGCTGTGGGACTGGCCTGTTCATTCTGGAGACTCCACTTTCCTTCCATCTGGAAGGGCATCCTTGATTGGCTCTTTGATCTGATCTCTTCAACTTTCCCTAGGCCTGACCTTTGGAACCTTTGGCTTCCTTTGCTTCCTCAAATAACTCCTACTTGTTTCTGTCTCAGAGTCTTTGCGCTTGCACTTCCCACTGCTTACGAATGATGGCTGAGTTCTTTCCATAGTTTGAACCTCATCTCAGATATTACCTTGCTAGCAAGTGCGTCCCTGTCCCCTCTGACAACCTCTCCTTCCTTTCCCACCCCTGCTACTTGCTATTATAACCCTGGTCAGTTGTCTTCCTGGAACTGCTTTTGATCTGAAACCGTCTTACTCATGTGTCACAGTGATACCCACCTTCCTCTCTGGGAGGTGAGCTCCAGGGACATCCCCTCTCTGGCTTATGTCCCATCCTGGGGACCCTGGGAAGTGCCTGGTATGCAGCAGATGCTCAGAAACCTTTTTGTGGAATAAATGGTTGGAGGATGGGGTGGGTGGAGGGGATCTCTGCCTCAGATGTCATGCATAATGGAGCACCTAGGGTCCTTTAAACCACAAAGGCAAAATCCAAATAAGAGGAAAGGAAATAGATCCTTAAATAATGAGGTGTTGAAAGGATAGCTATATTCCTACTTTCTTGTGGGCTCAAGGCCTCTGGAACCTCCAGTACATTTCTTTCCTCTGTTCTCCAGCCAGAAGTGCAAGGCTGAATGAGGGCTTGCTGACA